CATGCTTTTTTTCTATTATATGCTTCTGTTGAGCGCCCGAGCATTCCCCACTGTGGCTGAACCCACCGCCGTCCCCGACTGTCAGCCGACCATGCGGGGCGGAGTGGCGTGGCGACGCTCCTTTGCCGTGGCGTGCACATACACGCGCGCATGCTTCTTCTCTCCACGTCAACGCCCGCACACCACCACAGTCTGAAGGTGACGCTGTTGAAGGCACACAAGGAAGGAAACACGCCCACACAAGCAGTAATGTCTGGCTGGGCGCGTGCGCTGTCGCTCGCGGCCGTCCTGGTCGTCATGGCGTGCCTCGTCCCCGCGGCAACGGCGAGCCTGCATGCGGAGGAGACGCTGGCGTCGCAATTCGCAGAATTCAAGCAGAAGCATGGCAGGGTGTACGGGAGCGCCGCGGAGGAGGCGTTCCGCCTGAGCGTGTTCCGGGCGAACCTGTTTCTTGCGAGGCTGCACGCCGCGGCAAACCCACACGCGACCTTCGGCGTCACGCCCTTCTCGGACCTCACGCGCGAGGAATTCCGGTCCCGCTACCACAACGGCGCGGCGCACTTTGCGGCGGCGCAGGAGCGCGCGAGAGTGCCGGTGGACGTGGAGTTTTTTGGCGCGAGGAAGGCGCCGTGACAGCCGTCAAGAACCAGGGAATGTGCGGCTCGTGCTGGGCCTTTGCCGCCATTGGCAACATTGAGGGCCAGTGGTTTCTCGCCGGTAACCCGCTGACGAGACTGTCGGAGCAGATGCTCGTGTCGTGCGACAACACTAACTCTGGCTGCGGTGGTGGCTCGTCGTTGAAGGCCTTCAAGTGGATTGTGGATCGGAATAACGGCGCCGTGTACACGGAGGAGAGCTACCCCTATCATTCGTGCATCGGGATAAAGCTGCCGTGCACGACATCAGGCCACACGGTGGGTGCCACGATTACCGGTCACGTTGAATTACCGCAGGACGAGGCCCAAATAGCCGCATGGCTTGCAGTCAATGGCCCGGTTGCCGTTGTCGTCGACGCCAGCAGTTGGATTTTCTACACGGGCGGCGTCCTGACGAATTGCGTCTCCAAGAAACTGGACCACGCCGTTCTTCTCGTCGGCTACAATGACAGCGCCACAGCGCCGTACTGGATCATCAAGAACTCGTGGACCACGCAGTGGGGCGAGGATGGCTACATCCGCATTGCAAAGGGCTCGAACCAATGCCTTGTCAAGGAGGAGGCGAGCTCCGCGGTGGTCGGTGGCCCCGGAGCCACTCCCGAGCCAACCACCACGACAACCACAAGTGCCCCAGGACCGTCCCCATCGTGCTTTGTGCAGATGTCCTGCACTGACGCTGCGTGCATTGTGGGGTGCGAGAACGTGACGTTACCGACCGGTCAGTGTCTCCTGACCACCAGCGGCGCCTCTGCCATTGTCACGTGCGGTGCTGAGACTCTCACAGAGGAAGTCTTCCTTACGAGTACGCACTGCAGCGGCCCATCGGTGAGGTCCTCTGTTCCTCTCAACAAATGCAACCGGCTGTTAAGAGGCTCCGTTGAGTTCTTCCGCGGCTCCAGCTCCAGTGGCCGACTGGCCGACGTTGACAGGCAGCGTCGCTATCAGCCATACCACAGCCGTCATCGCCGTCTCTGAGGGCACTCTTTGTTTCTGATGCTGCTTTTTTCTCATTTTTCTTTCTTATTATTATTGAGCGAGCGTCGGTGCTGCGGCACACCGGGAAAACAAGTCCCAGTGGAGTGGATCGTTTATTGATTTGCTCTGTGCATGCTTTTTTTCTATTATATGCTTCTGTTGAGCTCCCGAGCACTCCCCACTGTGGCTGAACCCACCGCCGTCCCCGACTGTCAGCCGACCATGCGGGGCGGAGTGGCGTGGCAACGCTCCTTTGCCGCGGCGTGCACATACACGCGCGCATGCTCCTTCTCTCCACGTCAACGCCCGCACACCACCACAGTCTGAAGGTGACGCTGTTGAAGGCACACAAGGAAGGAAACACGCCCACACAAGCAGTAATGTCTGGCTGGGCGCGTGCGCTGTCGCTCGCGGCCGTCCTGGTCGTCATGGCGTGCCTCGTCCCCGCGGCGACGGCGAGCCTGCATGCGGAGGAGACGCTGGCGTCGCAATTCGCGGAATTCAAGCAGAAGCATGGCAGGGTGTACGGGAGCGCCGCAGAGGAGGCGTTCCGCCTGAGCGTGTTCCGGGCGAACCTGTTTCTTGCGAGGCTGCACGCCGCGGCAAACCCACACGCGACCTTCGGCGTCACGCCCTTCTCGGACCTCACGCGCGAGGAATTCCGGTCCCGCTACCACAACGGCGCGGCGCACTTTGCGGCGGCGCAGGAGCGCGCGAGAGTGCCGGTGGACGTGGAGTTTGTTGGCGCGCCCGCGGCAAAGGATTGGCGCGAGGAAGGCGCCGTGACAGCCGTCAAGAACCAGGGAATGTGCGGCTCGTGCTGGGCCTTTGCCGCCATTGGCAACATTGAGTGCCAGTGGTTTCTCGCCGGTAACCCGCTGACGAGACTGTCGGAGCAGATGCTCGTGTCGTGCGACAACACTAACTCTGGCTGCGGTGGTGGCTGGCCGTTGGTTGCCTTCAAGTGGATTGTGGATCGGAATAACGGCACCGTGTACACGGAGGAGAGCTACCCCTATCATTCGTGCATCGGGATATCGCCGCCGTGCACGACATCAGGCCACACGGTGGGTGCCACGATTACCGGTTACGTTACTATACCAAGGGACGAGAATGGAATAGCCGCATGGCTTGCAGTCAATGGCCCGGTTGCCGTTGTCGTCGACGCCAGCAGTTGGATTTTCTACACGGGCGGCGTTATGACGAGCTGCGTCTCCAAGCAGCTGAGCCACGCCGTTCTTCTCGTCGGCTACAATGACAGCGCCACAGTGCCGCACTGGATCATCAAGAACTCGTGGACCACGCATTGGGGCGAGGATGGCTACATCCGCATTGCAAAGGGCTCGAACCAATGCCTTGTCAAGGAGGGGGTGAGCTCCGCGGTGGTCGGCGGCCCCGGAGCCACTCCCGAGCCAACCACCACGACAACCACAAGTGCCCCAGGACCGTCCCCATCGTACTTTGTGCAGATGTCCTGCACTGACGATGCGTGCATTGTGGGGTGCGAGAACGTGACGTTACCGACCGGTCAGTGTCTCCTGACCACCAGCGGCGCCTCTGCCATTGTCACGTGCGGTGCTGAGACTCTCACAGAGGAAGTCTTCCTTACGAGTACGCACTGCAGCGGCCCATCGGTGAGGTCCTCTGTTCCTCTCAACAAATGCAACCGGCTGTTAAGAGGCTCCGTTGAGTTCTTCCGCGGCTCCAGCTCCAGTGGCCGACTGGCCGACGTTGACAGGCAGCGTCGCTATCAGCCATACCACAGCCGTCATCGCCGTCTCTGAGGGCACTCTTTGTTTCTGATGCTGCTTTTTTCTCATTTTACTTTCTTATTATTATTGAGCGAGCGTCGGTGCTGCGGCACACCGGGAAAACAAGTCCCAGTGGAGTGGATCGTTTATTGATTTGCTCTGTGCATGCTTTTTTTCTATTAT